GCGTGACCATCCCCCAAACATTGCACATCTCACTCATTGTGTTTGTACATACCCATCCCCTCTTCCCCCCTCCCACCCGCCTGACACGCGATAAATGTTTTTCCTATATGTCCACTTAGGTGTTGATCCATTAATACCAATTTGCTGGTGAGTACATGTGGTGCTTGTTTTTCCATTCTTGAGATACTTCATTTATTAAAATGGGTTCCAGCTGTATCCAGGAAAATACAAGAGGTATGCTATATCACCATTGTTTCTTAAAGCTGAATAGTACTCCATGGTGTACATATACCACATTTTATTAATCCACTCATGTATTGATGGGCACTTGGGTTGTTTCCACAACTTTGCAATTGTGAATTGTGCTGCTATAAACATTCAAGTGCAGGTGTCTTTTTCATAAAGGGACTTTTGATCTTTTGGGTAGATGCCCAATAGTGGAATTGTTGGATCAAATGGTAGATCTACTTGTATCGCTTTAAGGTATCTCCATATTGCTTTCCACAGAGGTTGAACTAGTTTGCAGTACCACCAGCAGTGTAGGAGTGTTCCTCTCTCTCCGCATCCACGCCAGCATTTATTGTTTTGGGACTTTTTGATAAAGGCCATTCTCACTGGCGTTAAGTGATATCTCATTGTGGTTTTGATTTGCATTTCCCTGATGATTAGTGATGTTGAGCATTTTTTCATATGTTTGTTGGCCATTATTCTGTCTTCTTTTGAAAAGTTTCTGTTCACGTCCTTTGCCCATTTTTTGATAGGGTTGTTTGATTTTTTCTTGCTGATTTTCCTGAGTTCTAAATAGATTCTAGTTATCAGCCCTTTATTGGATGTGTAGCTTGTGAAAATTTTCTCCCATTCTGTGGGTTGTCTGTCTGCTCTCTTGACAGTTGCTTTGGCTTTGCAGAAGCTTTTTAATTTGATCAGGTCCCATTTGTTTATTTTTATTGCTGCTGTGATTGCCTTGGGGTCTTCTTCATAAATTCTTTGCCTAGGCCAATGTCTAGAAGAGTATTTCCAACATTTTCCTCTAGAATTCTAATAGTTTCACATCTAATGTTCAAGTCTGTTACCCAGCATGAGTTTATTTTTGTGAGAGGTGAAAGGTGTGGGTCTTGTTTCAGTCTTCTACATGTGGCTATCCAGTTTTCTCAGCACCATTTATTGAATAAGGATTCTTTTCCCCAGTGTATGTTTTTGTCTGCTTTGTCGAAGATTAGTTGGTTATATGAGGATGGTTTTATATCTGGGTTCTCTGTTATGTTCCACTGGTCAATGTCCCTATTCTTGCGCTGGTCCCAAGCTGTTTTAATGACTATAGCCTTGTAGTATAGTTTGAAATCAGGTAAATTGATACCTCCTATTTTGTTTTTATTACCTAGGATTGATTTTGCTATACGGGGTCTTCTCTGGTTCCATATGAAGCATAAAACTATTTTTTCTATATCTGTGAAAAATGATGATGATATTTTAATAGGGATTGCATTGACTCTGTAGGTCACTTTGAGTAGTATAGACATTTTAACAATGTTTATTGTGCCGACCCATGAGCATGGTATATTCTTCCACCTGTTTACATCCTCTGCTATTTCTTTTTTCAGTGTTTCATAGTTCTTCCTAGAATCTGTTTTTTGACAGGAACTGAGGCAGAGAGTTGGAGTGGGGAGGTCACACCCTACTGTCCACGGAGGGCTCTTCAAGGCTAAAAAAAGGAAACTCTTAGAGACAATGAGTTAGGCCACAGGTGTTTAATTAAACACAGCAAAGGGGGTAGTTGTGAGTTTTCTCTTCCAAGGGGCAATTATATGCTGTGAGTTTACTTCCCTTACTTTATGTTTAATAGTTTATTGTCCTATGTTAAATAGCTGATGAGCAAAGCCACCTTTCATATACATCAGGGAATTAATGCAGAAAAGTAAGATAGGATATTACCACTTCCCCTCCTCAATATAAAGATAGCACTTAAAATCAGGCTTAAGTTAAGGCCCTAAAAAATAGTTTATGAGTGACCCTTCCAAAAAACCTGAGGTAAGTGTGGTAATAGAAGCATGGGTAAAAAAAAAATAATTCGTCAAACAAGTGGGTCAGGGACTAACCACTATACTTGAGTTTGCTTCATTTAGGTCCCCGCCTCAGTTAGAAACAGAGAAGTAAAAGACACCCTATAAGGTGCCTCAACAACTTACACCTCTTTAAAATTGTGAAAAATAGAAATCTGGGGTACATTACACCAGAGTAAAGAGGTGTCCCATGGAAGAAGAGGACCCAAGACCCCAGTGGAGGGGCCAGCCTTTAGGTGATCTAAAATATCTATTTAAAAAAAGTAAAAATGTTGATATTTTTACTAAACTTTCTTTGATTATTTGTTCTGTCTATAAGATAGACAACTTCTTAGTGAGGATTTCCCCAAGCAATCACCTCTCCTATTAATCTGTCTTACTACTGCTGGGTTTGTTACCCTAAACCTCATTTGGCCCATGTGTTTCTGTATAAGATTTTTAAATTTACAGAAGCTGGTTTCTCGGATCACCTACAGGGGCCAACTAATAGCTCTGTGCTCAGAGTCCCATGTTTCCTTTCTAAACCAGCCCTGTATCAGACATTGTGTACAAGGCGACAGTCCATTTTGCCTTGTCCATCCTCACTACTATATATACTTACAGTATATACTACTTATGACTTTTATTCACTTGGTAATCTCCTGTTGTAAATATACTGCCAAAGCTTTATAAGGACATATATAAATATAAACCTTCCACCTAAAACATCACTCAATTCAACAAAAAGTAGCTCAATGGCAACATCACCCCTTCTCCCATAGATACTGAAGAAGATATGAAAGGATAAAATTGACAATGGGGAATATGAGAAAGAATGGTCTGAAAAAAATGGTAAAAATGTTTTCTTCTGTTTAAAATGTTCTCACTCTTTTGGAGAACTAAAACCTACATCCTTCGTCTGGCCAGTGGTCGAGAGAGGCAGGGAGTGTCTTTTGTTTTTTGTTCTACAAGAGATGGCTCATTCACGCCTGTAATCCTAGCACTCTGGGAGGCCAAGGCAGGAGGATTTCTTGAGGTCAGGAGTTCAAAACCAGCCTGAGCAAGAGCAAGACCCCGTCTCTACTATAAATAGAAAGAAATTAATTGGCCAACTAATATATATAGAAAAAATTAGCCGGGCATGGTGGCACATGCCTGTAGTCCCAGCTACTCGGGAGGCTGAGGCAGTAGGATCATTTGAGCCCAGGAGTTTGAGGTTGCTGTGAGCTAGTCTAACGCCACAGCACTCGCTCTAGCCTGGGCAACAAAGCGAGTCTCTGTCTTAGAAAAAAAAAAAAAAGAGATGGCTCAGCAGAACTGCCCAACAGAGGCAGGGTCCCAAGCAGGCAGAGGAGTGGGTGGGGTTCATAGAGATTATCTTCCCCAGAGATGGGAAGAATCAGAATCATCAACTGTATCTAAAGATCTGTAATTATATCTAAAAAAAAAAGAATCATCAACTGTAGTTGAACAGCAATTGCCTGAAGCCAAAAGCCCTCCATTGAAAAACTCTGTATTTCCCCTTATGATTGGGATGACGGCATTTTAGACAGGAGTCTCCATCCTTGTTTACTGGAAAATTGCTAAATCTCTCTTTCCTGCTCCTCATACCTCTTGTCCTCATTATTCTGATGGGGACTTGGGGACAAGTGATGAGCTCCTGCTAACAAAGGGAGGATTAAATTTTAGTTGCTCTCTAAATTGTATTTAATTGATACATAATATATTTACATATTTAGGGGGTATGTGTGATAATTTGATACATTCATAGCATCATATGGGTAATTGGGATATCCATCACCTTAACTATTTATCTTTTCTATATTCCAGCAACATTCAAATTATTCTCTTGTGGCAATTTTAAAATGTACAACTGATTAATGTTCATGGAAATCATTCTGAAATTTTCTTTTAGTTCTTCATAAACATCAGGTATATGTCATTCTGAAGAATCTGAGGATCTTTTTCATGGGCTGTCTTTCTTTTCTAAATTTGCATTTAAAACAATTTCTATCATATTTTGTAATGTGGAGAGGTCCTTCTCTCATTAACTCCACTATTGCTGCAGTGTTTTTATAATAATCTGTCACCTTGACTGTCTTATTCAATCGTTCTATTTATCTCACCCTTCTCACATGAATTCATCCCCTTCCTCACGCACATGTTTGTTGAGCAGTCCTTTTGTGTTGCTTTCTAATTCTTTGTTCCCACAATGCCAACCCCAAGAATTAGTTACTTCCACCAAAGTTTATAAATGTCAGTCCTGCATACCTCTCTCTTGTGATTACACTGGTTTCTATGGTGACCTTGAGGCCATCCATTTCTTTCTAGGATCCTTGTCAGCATGATGAGGATTGGGGGTGGTATGTGAAAAACGCATAGGGAAAAGAAGGGGTTTTTTTAAAGTCAACTTACCTCTGTAAGATCTTGGTTAGGTAAAGACTTAAAGGAAGGTTTCAGACCAGGGTCAGGTGATTGAATGGAAGGATTATAAAAGCCCTGGACTTCAGCTGATGTTGTGGAAAGACTTTCAACCACATTTTTATGATCAAAAATCCTGTCCTCAAACACTGATCTATTTTCTGTTCTCACAGTACCACATTTTGCTTCTACTACAATAAAAATAAAGAGTATATAAAAATATTTGTAATTAACAATGAATAACACAAGAACGCACAGTCTTTAAATAGCTTACCCTTTGCATGGATTTCTGAGAAGCAGTTATTACCTTTATTAATCTTGGCTGTGGAAGATTCTAGACCAAAAACAACAGTTTTAAGAATAACAAGGACAAAAAAAAAAAAAAAAAAAAAAAAAATTCCAATTAGATGGAGAATTAAGAAAAAAAAAAGAATAACAAGGACAACAAGTAAGATGTGCAACGTTTGGGGGATGAACATGCTTGAAGCTCTTACTCAAGAGGGGAGGGGGGCATGGGCAATATAAGTAACCTTAACACTTGTACCCCCATAATACGCTAAAATAAAATTTTTAAAAAATGAAATGGAAAAAAAAGAATAACAAGTATCAAAGTGCATAATTTAAGTATAATATTCACCATTACTATACAATCAGATTGTAGAGTCACTTGGATGTAAACTCAACCCTCAATTCTCTCATTTGCCAACTTACATCTTCTTTGGGGGGGAGAGGATTATGACAGCTCATACAGATGTCCTCCAAATGTTACTACCCTCACCCCTAGTACATTATTATACAAACACTGTGATATCCATTAGATGATTTTCTTAACAAAAATAACCCAGGAAAAAAATGTCTCAGGTAGTTTAGAGCATTGTTGAAATAACTAGGATTAAGCAATTTAATTTAATTACTATTATATTTTGTAATGTGTTCATATGATTTATATTGGCATGAATTATCTCTTGCCTAGGAATATGTGGGAGTTTAATTTTTAGCAGTACCTTAATTTAAAAAGTTGCCATTCAAACAGTATCAGTCACTTCTATCATGTTCCTCAAAAAGCTAAAGATAAATGATTGTATCCACTCATGTCTTTGCAAAAGAGATAAATAAACTGGAATAAACCCTGTCTGGCAATGATGGATGAAGGAAAGGCACACATAGTACTAAATAGAAAGCTGTAACTAAATATGGAGACAGAGAGGGAATTAAAGGACAGACACTAAAGAAATGTCTTCTGCAAGAAGAATTTCAGTGGGTGTAAAACCATTTCAAAAGGTGGGGGAACATGGATGGACACACACACACACAAAAGAGATGTTCCCACTCAATCAATTATGGACATAAATCAAGGAAGAAAAGGAAAAACATTTACAACAATAAGATATATAACAGACACTTCTATTCATAGCACATCCATAATAATACTAATATTTACTCAGCAGTTACTCTTTATCTCTACTTCTGTAGACTCTAATTTTATTGCTATAAAATAAGACATTCAAGTAGTTAAACATGGTCATCTACCACTTCCTGAAAGCTGAAACCTTATAACTACAGAAAGAGAAATGGAAACAGAAATGTTCCATCAAGGTTCACTTGGAGAAAAAATGAGTAATCAGAATTCTAAACAGTAATGTGTGGCTTGTAATGACATCATGTATTAAAGATATCTTTAGAAACCCTCACTAGAAACAGCACAGAGGGGATACAGGCAGAATGGCTGACTGGAGACATCGGGCACCGGATCCCGGGAGAAAGAGCAGAAAGTATCGGATGACAAGGCACACCCCAGGAGTAATTCTGAGAAAACAGTGCCAGAACCCACCACACATCCCACGGGAAGACGTCGCAGGGCGGAACAAGAAGGAGCAAGATTCTGGCAGAGAGAGACCCCGGAGGAATTGGGAGCCCCATGGAAACATAAGTTGGGGAGGTTTGCTTTTCCTCCCCTCACACCACCCACAGTCTGCAGTCTCCCAAACTGCAAGACAGCTCCTGTCCCCTCAGGAGAGTAAGCGCTGCTGCCCTCAGGGAACTGGGAGCTTCTCCAGCACAGAGCACAAGGCTGATGGCACCCTGCAGGTCCTTCTCCCTCACCACAGCACCGAGCCCACTTGGCGGCCACCATACTGCTTTAGCACGCATTGTGACCTTTGTCCTGCCCGGGGAGCTTCGGCCCTTTAGTTTTTTCCCCCACCTGCACCCTACACAAATATTCCGCAACACCTGCTCAGAGTGCAGCAGCCCCACAGGGGCCGGCGAGTCCTGCAGGAACTGTGTGATCCCACAGCTGAGACATTCCAGGCAGGCTGCCTCTAAGTTGAAGGGAGGGCACAGCATGCCAGAGGGCTCCTGTGCCATAGGGGACCGGAGTGCCAGGTCTCCCCTTTTTTTTTACCCTCTCCTCCTCCTCCTCCCCTCCCCTGACCACTGCTGCCCACACAGCTGTGGCGGTTCCTGTATGGTTCTGGCTTGGTTGTCCCAACGATGATTACTGGTTACACCGAGACTTCTTCCCCTTTGTCAGTGTTCCCGCCACACCCAGGATTCCATGGAGAGTGGAGTTCTTAACATTACCCTTAAAAATAGGTAGTGGTCTGAGGGGTGCTCTGACCATGGGAGCCCTGCCCAGGGGATCGCCCCAGGCCTGTCCTGCCAGGCTGCTCCAGCACAGTGGCAATTACTCCAAAGCACAAGGAATTAAGCCTCCTTGAGCACTCCTTGGGCAACTCAGGACCAAAACAAACGTTCCTCTCTGTAACAGTTTGGGGATTGAACTCATGGGAGGGGAGGCCAGCTCTGCAGGACTTTTCCCATCCCCCCCAGGACTCCATCACATCCTTCAGGGGCATGGCAGTGTGAACTGGCCTTGGAAAGGAGGGAGCCCACTCAGGCAGAACTAAAAGGAGAGTGCGCTGTGGGTCTGAGCTGTAGCGAACTTGTTGAGTACCCTCCCCTCAGAAGATAGGCATGTTTTCAAACAGGGCCAGGGCAGGGAAAGAGAAGCTGGAAGAATGTAGCCTGCAGCAACATTTTTGGTGAACTACTTGGCTTGGACTGCTGCCTGTGACCAGATGCCAGAGGAGAACTGCGGGCAAGGGAAGTGGCAGGAGAGTGAAACCCACTCCCGTCTGCTGGACTGTGAATTCCTGACTTCCCCTCCCACATCAGCAGACTTGTTGGCATGGTGGGAACACCCCAACCCCTAACTGGTGGCTATCCTCCACGGTCTGAGACATGACCCCTGTCCCCCGCTGAGACCGCATTTGTATCCACCTTTGTGGAGCCTGAACATGCTGTCCCAAACCATCCCCACCCAGTCTCACTTGCCTCTCCCCCACAGCTGTGGTGTAGCACAAGAGGGGGTCCCCTGGGCGATCCAGGACCCCACCCATTGCCTGGGACATGGAGTGCTTCTCATGATTGGCTGAGGCTAAAAACAGGTCCCCAAAACCCCAGTGCAGCGGCCTCTCTCCTGCAAACAACATGTACTGGCAGCGCAGCTAAACAGGTCCTCTTGGCTCCCAGCACAGACGTGCCTCCTCAGGGGACTGCTGTCAGAGATGCCTCTAGTCTTTATGTTCCCAGTGTGGGGACTTGGCAGACATCCATCCCAAGCTTTTAACCTGTGTTTTCCCACACTGTTTTTGTGGAGTGTCTAAGAAAGTAGTACCTGTGTGCACTTCCTCTTTTGAGCTCCTCCACTGAGCCCACAGATGAAATGAAGAGCTTTTAGAATTGTTTCCATGCTTTTACATATTTTTTTCTAGCTAAAATGGAAGCTTTGTAAGCATTAGGGACTCTTTTATTCTCACTCTTTGATTCCATGCCTGGCAGACACCAGGTGTTTCATGAGAACATGTAGAGTGGATGGAGGGATGGATGGGTGGTGGGTTGGTGGATTGATGATAGTATTCCATGAGTATTTGGTGTGTGAATGAATGAATGGCCAGTCATATCCTTAATACCCAGGGGTGGGGAACACAACCCTTTCCTTTCTGTAGAAGTTTCTATCTAGTGTTGGCCTCTCTTCTGAAGCCAAGCCATGTGGGAGACCTCCTTCATGACTTCATTTTTCCCTTTTCCCTAAGATGGTGGAAGTTGGGCAGTCAGGTGACTTGGAGAAGAAGGCTGATGAAGTCTTTCACTGCCCAATATGTTTCAAGGAGTTTGTTTGCAAGTATGGACTGGAGACCCACATAGAGACCCATTCTGATAACCCTCTAAGGTAGGAGAAGGGGCGAGCAGGTTTTTCTCACCCGTTTCTGCTGGCATTTAACTTGTTCTTATTTCCCATTATTCCACCCCGAGCCCGATTGAACTTGTGTATGATGACACTGCAAAGGCAGTTAAGTGGGGTGTCGCTGTGGGGAAGAAGCTGAGCTGAGCTGTCAGAGCATGGCTGCAGCTGGAGTGTGTTCATAGGGTTCACTCTGCCTCCTGTGCCCCTGGCGAGGCCCCTTGAGCAGTCCCCAGTGAGCCCTCTGCGCAGTGGACAGTCTCCTATGATGGGAGCTTTTGGACAACAGATGCATTTTCTTTGCACAGAGTGTTGCAACCCACATGATTGCTAGCTGTACGTGAGCATGTGCTCGGGACAGGGACGGCCCATGTGTTGCACACACCTGGCACAATCCTAGCACACACTGGGGACTTTGGACGGTTTTTTTTGAAGTTCAGACTGAGTGGGACCAGAATCGTAGAAACCTAAGAAAGTATTTCGGGGCAAGAGAAAGTTCTACTTAGTGTAAGGTACTCGACCAAAAGTGAAGCCCGTTATATTTCAATAAAGTAGCAACAGATGACTGTTCTGCTGTTCCATCCCCGAGTGTGGGTCCCCAGCCCCAGTGTTTCTGATCCTCGGCATGCCAGGCAGAACACGTGGGTGGTGACAGGACTTTCCGGCGGAATTCAGGGGAGCCTCTCTCCCTGCCTTCCCTGACAACCCAGCAGGCAAGTGTTCTTGATGAACACTAGATAGACAAACAGTCAGATTTAGAAATTTTTCCTACAGAATTACCACTTAGAAATGTTAGACTACCGTAGATTTTAGGCACTGAAAAGAATGAAGAGCTGCGTAGGAGCCCCTGCTATATCTGAGAGTCCCGAAAGTCACCCACCCTGGACGTCACACACAGCCGAGGGTTCATTCAAGAGCAGAGGGTGGGCCCACACGTGGTTGCAGCTTTGGGTCTTAGAAGACAGCTCGGGAATGTGGGGATTGGGGTATCTGTTTGCGTGAATCCCTGATATATGAACAGGATTTCCTTCCTGAGGACCCGTGTTCAGCTGTGACTTAGGAGTAAGAGGGTCTGAGCAAGCTAAAAGCTTCTGTGTTGTGGGGAAAAGCCAGATTATATGGTAATTTGAAGCCAGGTCAAATATCATGATCCTTAATCACATTAGCTTGACATCTTTGTGTTGGTGGGGGGAAAGAATTTGTGAAGAATTTAAACTGCTGAGCAACTGAAATGCTGTGAAATGTCTCACGGAAGTGCCCGGGCTCAGGACTCTGCCCCGTGGTGGGCGCGGGCTCGGGATGCTTAGCAGGCCCCACGCCTCGTCCTCGCTCTGCTCACGCACGGCCTCAGCCAGCCACCCTGCATCTCGGCCTCCTCATCCTTCGTGTCCTGTGTTCCTAAAACCAGTCTCTTAGCGGTTGTTTCTTCTGTCTACCAAGAGCAGGCATCTGGCTCGTCCCTTTGTAGGCCCTGCGGCTCCGACAGCGTCGCGGTTCATTGCGCCCGTCCATCCCCGGGGCGCGGCTTGTGCTGCTCGGGATCCTGAACGTTCTGCAGAGCCGGGGCCTGAGCGCACAGAGCCGGGGCTTCCAGCAAGCCTCGTGGAGAGTCACGGGCAGAGGGGGGCCCTTGTGGGACCCCAGCTGCCCCTCGGCGTCCCCACCCGACAGCCGTCCTGTCCCTGGGACTGGCCTTCTGGACGAGGACCTGCTCCAGGAGGGGCCGGGCTCCCCCCCAGCGAGGACGGGTGGAATTGCGCCGGATGCTGCTCGTTCATTCCCGGTCGGGACGGGCGTCCCTCGGTGGGCAGTTCACCCACTTGGACGTCAAGGCTGGTGGCGCAGACGGGCTGTGCAGCTGGCAGTGGAGGGTTTTCCTCGCCTTTTCAGCACTAACACCCTGTGTCTGGTGAGAGCGTGGCTGAGGAGGTTTTGTAGCTTGTTGGAGACTCAGCCGCTCCAGGCAGCCTCGCATCCCACTGGCCCCGGAGCGGCTGATGGAAAGAGGTCCTGGCATCCCACGTGGAGGTGGACAGGCCACCCCTGCCTAGTGGCTCTGTCTGTGATGCTGCTAGGCGGGGCGGGGCTGCCATCTGGAAACCGCGAAGAGCTGATTACAGAACATAGTTAATTTCCCTTTTCTCCCTCTGCTCTGCCGTTCCCCATAATAGCCTGCTATCGGAGGAGGCCCGGGCCGCCCGAGCCAGTGGGGCCTGGCCAGGCTGTGAACTGGGACAGTAGCTGGTGGGAGAGAGTGCTTGTTAACCCAGAACTAAAATAGGCACCAGCTCCCTTCCAAACCCCAAGGGCAGCAGAACCGCAGTGGGATGCTACCAGCTCAGACAGAAAGTTCGTAACTCAAAACAGCTGTTGCCTTCTCCCTCCTGCCCTCGTCCCCCTTCCCCGCCCACCAGAGCTGGCACGGTACCCATTGTTCCTTAATAAAAGTGTTGGAAATCCAAACTCCTGTAAACACCGAGTCCATTTCCCCCATCCACTGTGTTTCCAGTGAACGAAGCGTTGGTGTAGAACAAAAGGAAGGCAGAGCTGTTTGTAGAGATGCTAGCGCTTAGGGTCGGGTTTGTAGCACGCTGGCACGACCAACAGTAAATCATCCCCCTCCACACAGCTCCGGAGATGAGGGAAGAAGGCAGGGGAGCAGGGCAGTGTCGGGTTTATAGAGAGCTGGTGTCTGGAAGCAGAGGCGACGGACCGAGTGTTCAGAGAGCAGGTGAGTGCACGGAGGATGCCCGTGTGAAGGTTTCCCTGAGCACGGGACACCTTGCTGGCTATCTTTATACAATTCAAAGAAACAAGAACATTGTGGGGGTTTTGTTTGTTTGTATTTGGAAAGTCAAGAAATTCTCCTGGTCTAGAATGAGACCAGCTTGTTCCTTGAGTTCTCTTTAGCTAGGAATATTTATTCATTTAAAGGAGGTTTTCCAACTCAGGGTGCCCATCTGTAAAGCGGATGCTACTAGTCTACTGGCCTAGCTTAATGGCAAAGCCCTGAGGAATACAGAGATAGGGAGAACAAGGCCCTCTCTCCCACCCCATGACCCTACCTGGCCATGTGGCCTTGATCAAGGCATGGGCACATGCAGTGATGAGGAATTTGACAGAGCAGCTCTGGAGGCCCCTTCCAACTCCCCTGTTCCTCTGATCAAAGAATAGGTTTGCCAAACTCCCATACCTTGGACTCTGCTGCCAAGCATCAAACCATCTGGGAATTGTGCCCCTTATCAATTTAGTTTCCCCCAGCTCCAAGTTCATCCTTCATTGCCTGCTCTGAGAAAATGGACCTGGCCCCTTTAGATGTTCCTTTGCTAGCTGGCACAATGTTAAGTTTTGTCAGAGAGGGCGTTGGCAAGACATAGCAAGAGGAGGGGTGGAGGGGTTTTCCTTCCTGGTCCTGTGTGCCCACTTGGCCGGCTCCTACTGTGCACGTGAATCCTCCAGCACCAGGCCCTGCAGGGCATGGTGGTCAGCTGCACCCAGCAGCCAGCAGCCAGCAGATTCCTCCAGCATCCCATTCCAGTGGTTTGTGGTTGGCTTCCTCCAGTAAGGCACTCCCCTTATGGAACAGCTTACCCTGGTACCCTTGAGCTGCATTTCCAGCAAGCCCCACTGGCGTGGCACCAACAGTGACTTCTCAGCCATTCAGCGAGCCTTGACAGTGGTCTCTACAATGAGTGCTGATCTCAGCCTGGGGGGAGTGGCTGCTCCACACAGCTGTTCTTCCTGGGTTACTTAGAGATCTCTTTAGTTATTACTAGCCAACCCCTCTTACTCTAATCCCTTGTCACAGTTATGTCAAACATCCCTATTCAAACTGATGTGTGGTTTCCTCTCTCTCTCTCTTTTTTTTTTTAACACAGAGTCTCCCTCTGTTGCCTGGGCTAGAGTGGCGTGGTGTTAGCCTCACTCACAGCAACCTCAAACTCCTGGGCTCAAGCAATCCTCCTGCCTCAGCCTCCTGAGTAGCTGGGACTACAGGCATGCACCACCATGCCCGGCTAATTTTTTCTAGATATTTTTAGTTGTCCAGCTAATTTATTTCTATTTTTTTAATAGAGATGGGGTCTCACTCGTGCTCAGGCTGGTCTCAAACTCCTGAGCTCAAACAATTTGCCCACCTCGGCCTCCCAGAGTGCTAGGATTACAGGCGTGAGCCACCACGCCCGGCCGGTTTCCTCTCTTGATTGGACCCTGATTGGTATAGAGTTGGTACCACGAGTAGTCTCGGGACAAGACCTGCGAAGACGGCATTTGGAAATTGATTTGGCTGTGCCTTTGAGCTCGAGCACAGTACTGACCTCCTCGCCTGTGGGAAATGGGGTGCTACTACAAAAGACTTGTAATTTCAAGTGGGGCCTTGTATCAATCCTGTGTAGACTGCTAATACACACCTCTTGATCCAGGAAGTAGGACCAGGCCCCAAGGGTGATGGCAGCCCTTCCCAGGGCCACAAGGGATTTCACCTGTGACCCTGCGGGAACCGGATGCAGGAATGTAGGCATTGCATGGATCCCTAGAAATGTTTGTCACTTAGAGAGCTGTGGGCCTCTGCAGCACTGCATGGGAGACAGCATAACGCTGACCAAGGGACCCTGGCGGGGACTCCTGGACAGCTTGGCCCACGCTCACCTATCTTCAGGTCAGGGGCACAGGGCACTGGTCACATGTCCAGAGTGCCATACCACTGTCACTGAGGATCTAAAACCAGGATGGGCATACAAAGAAGAAAGCGTATCTGGTCAAATCAAAATGCTTGGGATAATGCTACTGTCCTGGCTCTGCAAGGTCTCAGAAGAGTCAACAGGCCTTCTCTCGGCCTGGCTGGATTCCTCAGGATCTCTCACATCAATCTCCTTCTCAGAATTCTTGGGATCGGCAGTATCCACATGACCCATCTGGGGATTTATCAGCAAAGCAGACCCCCGGGCCCCACTCCAGACTGACTGACTCAGAACTTCAGGGGTGGAACCCATCGGTCTGTGTTTTGACAAGTCCTCCAGGCGATTCTGACATGCAGGGAGTATGACAATTGCTCATTTGACTCAGGTACAGACCTTGGCACGCCCCACTTAAAAATCGCTGAGTGGCTCCCAACACCTACCTAACGGAGGCTTCCCTGCCCACCTGCAAACACACAGTTGGTGCCAATCTTTGAATTGACTTGTAGAGTTTGTTCTAAAATGCAGGTTCCTGGGCCAGCTTCGCAAGAGTCTGACTTAGGGAGGTGTGTGTGGGGGGGGTGTGATGCTGGTGCATGTGCTTCACAGACTGATATCACTACATGCTTTCTCCATATGTGAATATGTCCGTGCACAGGTATTAATAGGTCCGTATCATCTGTCAGGTGGAGTTATAACTTGCTTCATGGCCTTCTGTCTTCCTTTCTTCAGTCATGATGCCCCTGTGTTCCTGCTTCTTCCTGGGTGAGTCCTTCTTACCTCCACCTCCTTCTCTCTAAAATCCTTCCACAACTGTTCTCAAAGGTTCAGCTCAAAGATCACTTCCCCTCGAAGCCTCTCTAACCCTCCTCCGCATGCCCACCCAGCCACCCCCACGCATTTCTGCCGCAAGTCCACCGCAGCACAGTTAGCAACAGGCCCAGCTTCTGCGAAGACGGCGACTGGCTTATTCATCTTTGACTCCCCAGGGCCTGGCGCTCAGCAAGAGATTCATGCTAATCTGTAGGCCTTGCAATCCAATTTATTTCAGTCCAATTTGATTTAATGCAATTCAATTCAATTCATGTCAGCACAATACAAGAGCCCCGGGAGCCCAAACTGAGCACCAGCACACATTCACCAGGCCTCGAGAGTCCCAGCCGCGAGGAGCTCACTCGTTTCTAAGGCATGATACTCGTGTTCACGCGAAGCATCATTCAGCCTGGACACTGACTTCTACCTCCACCCAGGCCCAGCTGACTGCTGCAGCTGCCAACCCTTCCGGAGTCCCCTCCCCGGCCTCCTCCCGAGGGCCTTGCGCACTTCCCTAAGCTAAAACTGGAAGCTGCTACGGTACGTGTTGCAACCATCACATCGCAGGGGTTGCTGGCTCGCTTCACACAGAGCCCTCTGTCTGCCGGCCTCAGAGGCCATCTACGTCATGGGGTGAGGTAAGCTGACCCGAATGAACCTTCTGCTCGGGGTGCATGGTTCATCCATTGCTCTCTGGTGGGGACCCACACCCCCTCTCCTACCAGCTAGCAAAGTGGCCTGGTTTCCTGGGAAATCTCCACCCAGAAACAATGCACAACAGCTGTTATTCATCAGCCACGAAGCCCTCATCACACGTGCCCCCTGCAGTGACGTCCCAGAGCCATCACATGGAGGATCCAGTTGAGTGAGTTGGCGCTGTCCTACGTTTCACAAATAGCAACATGGTGCAGAAGATAGACGGGTCTCCAGAACTGCCTGTCCAGGGTACTTCCTGAAGCAGCTGAGGCGGAGGGCACAGCCCTGGCACCTGGAGACCAGAGGTGGCCCCGCTGCTGGTGGGGCAGTCCAATGCCATCAGTGAGTCTCCCTTCTCCTGCGTCTGAAAGAGCAAAGGGAGAGAGTGACCTCCTGAGAGGCTTCAGGACGCCCCACCAGGCACTTCCCGACCGGCATGAAGCACGTGGCAGGACAGAGGCAACGGGGCGCGGGGCCGTCTTAGCGTCAGAGACTCTCCATGCTGCTCTGCCCACTCGAAATATTTCCCACAATCAAAGACCCAGAGAACCTCTCTCACTCCCCCTCTTCCTCCCATGAAGAAACTGATAGAAAAATCTAGGATGGGGTTCAAAGTTTCTGAAATTGGTCCATTCTGTGATTCCCCAAAGAAAGAGTAAATACCATGCTTCTTTCTTGGGATTTAGTTAGACTTTCATGCTTTCAGTGAGAAATTGGCATATAAAGAAAGCTCCAAATTTAGCCATGCTTCATGAGTAAAACCAAGAAAAATCACAAGAATCATCTGGAGAGATTGGAGGTTTTTGCTTTGTAACAGAATCAGTTCCCAAGTATTCTCACTCATTCTTTCATTCACTCAACAAACATTTATTAAGGGCCTACTGTGTGCCAGGCCCTAGACCAAGAGCTGGGCCACAACGGTGAGCAAGTTGTGGTCCTTGCTTCCATGGAACTGGCATCGAGCAGGGGGAGAGGAGCACACACGATGGCTCAGTCCATGCGGATGAGGCACTGTCCCCAGGGCTGAAGTTAGGGAAAAGACACCTAACCTCCCTGCGGGTGCCTGGAGGGGTGGTCTGAGAAAGCTTCCTTAGAGGAGGTGTCGTGAAAACTGAGGTTGTTAAAAAATAAATAGGACCCCACTTTTCCCAAGTCATCAGTACCTATGTCACCAATGACAAGACAACCCAGAAGCACCATGTGGCCCTGGAGATGCAGCTTGGAAAATGACGCAGCATCACTTCAGTGCTATTCCTGCCAGAAAGGGAGAATCTGAATCTAATCTCAAGGAAACATCACACAAGCTCTCATTAGACAACATTCTGCAAAACAACCAGCACTCTTCAGAAATGCCAGTGTCCTCTAATTTTTTTTTAAATTAGCCAGGTGTGGAGGTGCATGCCTGTATCCCAGCTGAAGCAGGAGGATCGCTTGAGCCCAGGAGTTCAAGGCTGCAGTAAGCTATGATTGCACCTCTGCACTCATCCTGGGCAACGGAGCAAGACCCCGTCTCTGAAAAAAAATACCTACGTTGTGAAGACACGGAAAAAGTGGGTGTTCCAGAATAAAGAAGACAACTAGATGTAACATGATCCTGAACCAGGAAAAAAATAGTTATCAAGGCCTTAGTAAAATAATTAGTGAAATCAGACCACTGCCTGTAGCTTTGAAAACACTGCATAAATGCTACATTTCCTGATTTTGCTAACTGTAATTTGGTTCTATAAGAGAACATTTGTTCTTAGGAGATAAACACTGATGTATTTACAGGTAAAGGGACATCATATGTCTGTAATTTCCTCTCAAATAGCTCAGAAAAATTATGGTGGGCGTATGTGTATGTGTGTGTGTGTGTGTGTGTGTGTGTGTGTGTGGCAAAATGCTAACAATGCTCTGGGTGAAGTTGAAGGGCATGGGGCATGTGTGTATGTGTGTGTGTGTGTGTGTGTGTGTGTGTGTGTGTGGCAAAATGCTAACAATGCTCTGGGTGAAGTTGAAGGGCATGGGGAATTTCTTTGTACTA